AGTGGGAGACGATCACCAAAAACATACCTGGATTTCTGAGTTTGGGTCCTGTATTGGCTTTCTGGCCACAGCGTCTGCGTTCTGTTTATCATTTGTGACTTCATGGCAGTGATTCCTCTTATTACCAACACAAGCTGTTTTTGTTGCTTTGTAAATAAATATCTTCATTCTAACTTTTTGTTGATATACAAAGGTTTCTGTCATGCATTGTTAAGTATTTGGCAAATGTTATGATCACATGCACACACATACATTTGTTATTTAGGTTAGAAAATCCAAACATACTCAAAAGCTAGCAACTCGAGTGTTTCATAAATTATGGTTGGACAAATCAAAGATCAATAACAGGACACTAAGGAACAGTCCTAGTTTTACAGTGAAATGTTAGCATTTAATGTTATTTAAATATATTCCCAAATGATAAATGTTTTCAGAGTGTTCTTTTCTGCCTTTTACATAGTAAACCTCCCATAAGGAGCAGAGTATTTAGCAGTTTGCTGAGTCTTAAGTGTTTGGAATTAAAGTGTACTTTTTTATTTAATGTTAAATAGAATCCTTTCCCTGCCCCATCTCTACCTCCACCCCCCCCCCCCAAATAAATAAAGCCAAGTCCTTCTCAGTGCAAGTCAGTCCACTCCTGGGAATGAAAGGATGTGAGAACCGTGTGGTGAATTGCTGGTGCTTATGTGAATCCACAGTCTTCAGTGCACTTTTTTTTTAAACTGGACTTCAGCTGCCTGTATTTAAATGCTTCTTTTGTAAAGATGATAAAGAAAGCAAAGATTTCTATTGGCTTAGCCTTAATCTGTTTGCTTTGTTGTGATTTTTTTCTTTAACTGTTAACCTATTTATAAATCTAAATCTACATACAGAGGTCATTGGTTGGCTGAACTTAAACCATTTTACTCAGTAAATTTAATTAAGAAAATACAGTGCAACTCATAAGCAAATGAGTTTTTTCCTAGTTTTAAACCAAACCACCCTCTTGAGTGCTGATTGCCTTGCCCGACCCCTGGTGATACAGAAACAGGCAAAATTAAAAAGGACATTAAAGCTTCATTAAATCTGAAACACATTTAGTACAGTGACATATCTGCAGGCCATTTCAGGGAAGATTACATACTCTCTTTTGTAAGTTTCCTAATTTATAATACCTTGACAATAAAAACCCGGGAAGTGCAAGCAGATTAATAGACCAGTAGGGGTAAAGGAGACGGAGCGGCCCCAGCTCACCTGTCTCTGAAACATTCCGTCAGAGCGTGTGCGGCCTCCCCCCACGGGGGCCCCGTGCTCATTTTGGTTTTCGACAACCTCTCGAAGAACCTGTTCTTCATGCAGTCATACCTAAGAACACTTTTCCTTTTTTACCTTCTCCTAATTGAACTTGATAAGAGGGTTGTGGGGCCTGGCCATAGATTTCCTGCTCTTTGCCAGAAGACAGATAGTGTGGCACCTAAACACTGCAGCTGCATTAAACCTGGAAGGACAGGGACAGATGTGGAAGGCAGCTCCCTCTCCTGGGGCCTTAAAACGACTGCTTTGGGTGCCAGCCTAATCGTGCCGCTGCCTGTTTGCCCCGGTGCAGGACTGGAATCCTTGACCTGCACTGGAGCAGCCCGTCGGTGACACTACGAGAGAGGAAAGGATTGTTGTGCTGCTTTGGTCAAGGTCAAGGAACCATTCTCTGTCCTCTGACCCAAAAGAGGTTAGACCTGCAAGATATCTTAGAGAAGTTCTCCAAGGACTGTGGTTGACAAGTAGGACTGAGATTCCCTAAAAGGTCAGGAAAGTGCGTACAAATCAAAGCCAGTCCCAAGAATGATGAATTCACTAGTTCAGTCAAGCACGGCCACCTGTTCCCAAGCAGACTTGTTCTGGGCGGCTCCCAGCTGACCAGCCTGCACTGGGTTTTCTCTGTGTTCTTCTTCATGGCGATGCCTCACACGGTAAATGCATGGCATCAGCCATCCTTATCACTTTGTACCAGTCGTGATAGAGGCACCCAAGCAGATGAGAGCACGTTTACAAGTCAGCCGCAGCCTGGCCTCACTGTGGAGCTGTAATAACTTGAGAATATGAAGCTTTGTGTTGAAATGGGGAAAATTCACACTTTTCCCCATATTCCACTCTTTTTGTTAAGCCTTCCATTTATTATCTCTTAGTTCTGTAAACTGCAAGAGCCAATGCCAGTTTGTCACCTGCCACCTAGTTTAGATCTTAACTGTATGTATGTATGGCAGGCACATTTCTTCTGCTGGTAAGTCGTGTGGGCAGCATTCTCCCATAGACCCTCATGATGTTGTTCAACATGTACCCAAGTAAATGGCACAGCATCCATAGGAAGGCTTGGGATAGAAGGTTCCAAATGTTTTCCCATGGTTAGGAAGCTGTCAGCTTTTTAAATGAGAGACACTTCTCTTGGTAGTGTTCTAACTCCAAATGCAGGGATATGCAAAACTTGTGACCTGCAGCTCAGTGTGATGGTAGGTGACAGCTTGTTAAGAGCTGTTAACGCCTATCAGTTCAGTACAAACTGGCTCAAATGCCCAGTCCACCGGTCACCACCGCAGTAGACCGCAGCAGCTCCTTCTGAACCATCGTGCAAGCGTTAGCCAGGAACACAGTGTGTTTACAAAATAAAGTAAATCAATGGCCTAGTTTATGGGGGTGGAGTAGGGACCGTGGAGAACTGAGTCCCTCCCCTTCCTAATTAATAACAGTATATAGACAACAACCATTCACACAAAACTAAAAGGAGTTTGATTAACATTCATATTCTCTTTCCTTCACCCCATTTTGTGATGTTTTTGTTATTGATACTTGAAGGGAATAATGATATCCACCAAATGAAATAAGATAACTTTATATCTTTGAAGTCAATGAACTCTGAATATACAAGAAATGGGTACAAGGTAATAAAACTTATAAGGTAGTCCATATATATGTATACATACATCCAAATGAGTATTGGCCCTTTCACAGTAGTCACCTTACATGTTATGTGGTTCATTCCTATCACATTGTTGCTCAAACTGGTTTTAGAACTTTGAAAATTAATCTCAGCCCCTTTGTGTCTATCCTTAGTAAGGAACAAACTATTCTTTGAAAGTGGAGTTGGGTGCACCCCTCTGTTCATTGCAGCATTATTTACAACAGCCAGGATTGGGAAACAGCCCAAGTGCCCATCAGTAGATGAGTGGATTTAAAAAAAGCTGTGGTACATTTACACAATGGAATACTACTTGGCCATTAAAAAGAAGGAGATCTTACTTTTTGCAGCAGCAAAGATGGACCTGGAGAGTATTGTGCTAAGTGAAACAAGCCAGTCAGAGAAAGACAAATACCACCCTAATGACTGCACTTATATGTAGAATCTAATGAGCAAAACAAACAAACAAAATGGAAAGAGACTTTATAGATAGAGAACTGACAGCTGACAGAGGGGAGGGAGATTGGGGGGCTGGGTGGAAAAGGTGAAGGGATTAAGCAAAAGAAAGAAAAACCTCATAGAAACAGACAACAGTATGATGATTACCAGAGGGAAAGCAGGGGTGGGTGGAGGTAGAAGAGGGTCAGGGGGAATAAATGGTGATAGAAGGAGATTTGACCTGGGTTGGTGAACACACAATACAACATACAGGTGATACATTATAGAATTGTACACCTGAAACCTATATAATTTTATTAATCAGTGTCACCCCAATAAATTCAATAAAAAATTTTTTTAAGTGGAGTTGGATTTTGGTAATACCCATAAGCTATTCAAACTTTTGTCAACAAATAATTTACATGACCAAAAAGATGAGGTGTATATTTTATCTTGGGATAGTCCAAGATATGATGCAATTCTAATAAAATGAGGTAGGGTTCTCCTGTTAAATGATTCTAAACATAATTCCAAAAGGAGGAGCTCAAAAATGTTTAGTAGTATCAGTGTCTTTGAAATAAATGTATAATTTCTCAAGATCTATAAAAGCAGTGTAATATGTTGGAAAGAACACTGGATTAAGTTGCAAGGTTTGGGGTCAGTCCCTTGGCTTCTACTGATGAACTGTGTGCCAGCTTCTTCAGTGGAACTCTGGGGTTCTAATCATAAAATGGGTTGATGCTCTCTTGGATCCATTGCAGCTTCCAAGTTCCCTGATGTAGCAATTCTACTTTGAAAGTAGTTACAAATACATATAAAGGGTTTTAGGCATGAGGATGGGCCACTTTATACAATTGCAAAATTTTGCCACTATTTTCTTTAAGTACCTACAGTTTGGTAAATCTGATCTTGTTACTTTATGTCAATCCTATTCCTGGTCGAATGATTTTGTTTTTACAGGTGAGGATCCAAAGACCAAAATTAAGTGACTGGCCTAGAAACACATAGCAGTTTACAAATCAAGCAAAATTGGAAGCACTAAGGATTCACTTTCACAATTTCAGACTCTGCCCTGTCATTCTGACTTCACTCTCAAAATGACCATTTTCCCACTTGTAGTAGCTTTTTTCTTCTAACTGTAGATAGAAAATGGACGAAAAAACTAACAAATAGATGGAAATAATGGCAAAATTTTTTAATTCATGTGTTTAATTTCCCATTTCCTACAACCCTTCCTATCTATTTACTTGTAATTGAAGGTGTTTCCATTTTACAAAAAGAAAAGCCAACAGCCTCCTTCTGTAGTTTTACATCTCTGTGTGGAAGAAATTGTCACACACGTGAACATGAATAATGCCCAGATAGCTGAGAATATTCCTAAGAGAAACCACATAAGGGTAATGTTTAGTTGTTAAAATTAGAATGTATTATTGGGGATGTAACATTGTCCATTGAAAACATTCATTCTACATACAACTCAGTGTAATTACAGTAATAATTTAGCTTGTGTATTTGAGGTTGTGAGCTCTTTATATTTGCCAGATACAATTCTGAAATTTAGTACTTGTCTGTCTTAAGGAGATCTGCCCTGCATGCAAATCTATAACTAGACAAATATTATTTCCTTTCCCAGCTTGCTCTTGGGAGGTTTCCATATCCTCAGGTAAGATTGTTCATTACTGCCGTTTGCCACTGTGACATTCATTCCTATGTATGAAGGTGCAGGGAGCAATTGTGAACATTGGAGCCACATACAAATAAATCTGTCCTGTTAAATTGAAAAGTGATATCTTAAAGGAGTCATTTAGAAGTCTCTATTGATTTTTGATTTTTTTTAACTCCAGATTTTTTTCCCCTTTGTTAAAGGTTGAAAGCCATCCTCGCGCTCCTCCTTTGTGTGACATTGGTGGTGTTTTCACTTCTCCTGACCCTGTTCCCTGTGCTCATATTGAGATTGGGAGAGGGGCATAGCCTTTTCTTGATACACTGTTGTAGCTTTTACATTCATTAAAATTATTTGAATTAAAGGATTGAGATGAAGGGTAAACATATCTAAATAGGTGATTATTTTTGCTAAACAAATAAGCAGGCCCCCAGTTTCGTGGGAGTGTGAGTTTGAACATATTCTTTTTAAAAAAAATTGCCCCTTCCTCTCCACATATCTAAGAAAACAAACTATCCAATTGCTGGTGATAACCTTTATAATTTCTTTAAGATTTTTATTATAGATGAGTGCTAGCACTTAAAATATAAAGCTATTTTGTGGTTTGAAAATGATTCCCCAGTGTGTGTGGAGAAATAAGTGAAATGTCTGGAGGGATGAAAAATGAGCGGTTTGACTGTTTTCCTCTGGTTGATGCTCACTGTTTTTCTGGCACCGTGGTCTGTACAGGCCGGAGTGCCTGGAGGCACGTCTGATTTAAAGGTGGTGTTGGTCTCTGCTCTTTAAGCATCTATTAACTTGCTATTATTATGCAAATAAGTGTTGTATTACACATACTAATTTATGCATGGTTAGATTATGCAGATGAATCACAAACATGGTTATTGAATAATAGGATGGGATTCATTCTCTCTACCATCTTTTTAAGCGATTTTAAGCAAATTCTCTTGGTACCCGTGTGGGCATATAAAGACCCTTCACTTGCTGAAATGTCTGTTTTGTATCCTTTTTCTTTTACAGTTAAAGCCATCAGATAAGTAAAAGAAAAATTCTCCAAGTTGTTGGGTCCAAGCGTGTTTAGTCTCACTTCTCGAATTTGGAGGCTTCTTTGTTTAAACATACTCTTTTCCTCGAAGAGAACGTCCAGCCGCAGTGGCTGCCTGGCGCGCCGGCTAGCGCTTCAGTGGGGCTGCGGTGTGCGCAGCCTGGCTGCGTAGCTCTAGGTAGCCCATCAAATTAAAATCACATTTTCAGGATTTATAGCTCATTAGAATGTTTATCTCGGTAAGCCTCTTATTCTGTCAGTAATTTTTAAACAATTCACTGTTTGGCCAATATGTGAAATTCCCTAGAATTCGGTAAATCAACAGAAGAGGCCATATATACCATGTCTTTCAAACAAGTCATAGCAGAAAACTCGCAAGCCATCTAGTAAAAATGCCAAAGACTGAGCATATAGCTATATTCTCGAGGTTCCCAATCAGCAGTGAGCCTGGGTGAGTGACGAGTCTAAGAAACAGATCGCCGCTGCCTGTGGCACGTGAAGCACGTGCCGACTGGGGAGATTTGGGAGGAGGCCGTGCGCCTCTGCTGTGTTACCTTCTTGAATGTGCGAGGAAGTATGTGTTCACTTATCAGTCCAGTAGAAGGTGGAAAATCGTGGGACACTGATAACCTTTGTGCCAGAGTGTGGGGGGGCGGGGTGAGGCGCAGGGGGGTGGGGGGCCAGCTGTAATCCTTGAATCACAATAGAATATTGTCACCAAGTTGGGATTTTTACTTCAAATAATAGAAGCAGCTTTTATGCCATCAGGCCTATTTCCCAGATTTTTCAACAGAAGTCTGTGTGTTTTGTTGCTAGAATCAATCTTGACTTTTGGTAGAGTTGGCATTTATTTTACAGGCTTTGTACTTTATATAGACTGAAGATTGGGAAGGAGTACTTTATGAATTCCTTTCTCAACCCCTGTCTTTTGCCCTCGGATAAAGCACTTGAAGGAAAGCGTTCATTTTTATAGTATTACAGAGATTGGACTATGAAGTAACACCTTCTCTGTGGCCCATATTACCTCATTTGAACCCTCAGCCACTCTGTGAGATAGCCTCCCCTCATAAATCGGGCAAACAGAATGGCCAGTTTCTCACTACTGACCTGCGGAGAGTGTGGTGCCACTGAATCCCAAATGGAGTAGTCCAGAGTGAATAGTAGACTCTCGGGATTGGGAGAGATCTCAGGCATCATTGAATTAAACCTCTCTACAATATCTGAAAAGCAAACATCTGCACTATGCTTGAACACCTCCAGTGATAGGAAACTCAGTACTTCCCAAAGCAGCCACAGAATTAAAGCAGCATTCTATTTCTGGAGCTGGGGACTGCCTCATCCCATTGGCTGCCCTTTCCTATCTGATTAGAGGAAGTATGCAGATTAAATGAGATGGATATAAAACCACTCGGAGAAGAACATAGGGCCACCCACTGGTCTTGATGTTGGGCTGTAGCATGGAACAATTCCTAATCATCAACCAAGGGTTGCAGAAGGATGTGCTCAGCGACCTGTCAGCCGCAGTTGCAGCTGAGTGTCAAATGAGCGGAGGTGAAAGTGGGGAGGAGAGGCTAGCTTCACGACTCTTCATCCCCCAGCCCAGCGTCAGTGCTGCTGACAGCGTCGTTAGTGGCGCCTCTTCCTGCCAGTGACACAGTGTATATACCCAGTGGGGACACAGCTAAGGCGGTGGGGGGAGGGTGTTGGAAAGATATCAAGGAGAGTCAGTGGCCTGGGACCAACATAAAGGTTAAAGGACTGGATTTTTGTTGAAGTAATCATTCTGTATGAATTTCATTGTTTTGTGGGTTGGGTTTTTATTTGTATTTGAAAATACTATATATTTTCATTTCCTTTAGGCCTTAAAGTTGCATAACCTCACTGGCATGCAGTGTAAAACTCTGTAGAAAAAAAATGGTATAAAAAGCCACTAAAAATGCAGTCTTGTTACTGTAGCTTATACTAGGAAGAACAATGTCTTGGATTCATCTAGCACCATTCCCATATTGAGCTCCAGAGCTCTTTCTGTGATCTGACTGGCTGTACACGCAGGGCCTGTTATTCCGAGACTTCAGGTGAGCAGACTGAGGCTCCCAGAGGCAACACACACAGTCTCAGTGATGAATGGGTACATACGGCTAGGCCTAGGTTTGCCGGCAACTAAAGCAAACGGCTGGCTCTGTGTCCTCTGGTTGGATGTTCGCGCCACTGCTCTTCCCCTCAGCCCCACCAAGCCTTTCACTTCTCTCGTTTGCCTTCTCTGCCCTAGGGAGGCCTCTTGTGTAGATGAGAAATGCTGAACATCGGGGGGTTGTGCCATTGTGGATGATGACAAGACCATTCCCTAGAGCCCTTTTGCTTTTCTTACCATGTGTTTAGCAGAGTGACAGGAGGGTCCGGAGGGCCTCAGAGTGCTAACTGACCCCAGTGCCATTAAATTCTGGGTGCCTGTGAAACATACTGTGCAGTAGGATAATGGAAAATTATGTTTTCAAACATCTTGCAACCAGATGTATCTCAATTTCTTGAACAATTTAGCTTTAATAGTAATCTGGTAAGATGTGCAGGTCTGGACGAGGACTAGAGCTGTGTGTAGTTAGTTAATCAAGTCGATCCAGATTCAGCTGACTTAAAAAACATGATGGTGGGCAATGGTTTGTTTAATGACACCATAATTTAGGAGAAATGAAAAAGATTGTGTGCTAAAAATCATCATCCTTCATTCAAACTTTACAGTAATCCCCTGCATTGGGACGTTAGTAAATCCACTAAGGAGACTTCGCAAGGGGTGCGCCAGCTCTGGCGTTTGGGAATCTGGTAAGCAAGGTGCCACAGGAAAGTGAGGATAATACAGACACAAATGTGTTTAAAGTACTTTTGCAAGTATAAAAATGTCGTTCTTCTTTTGGCCATATTTCCCGATCTTGGTTAATAAATTATATCAAAATGACCTGAAGTTAAAAAAAGGAAAAAAAATCTGAGCAAATAGTGCCCCTGGTATTGTAAAGCTTTGAATGTTTTCACACCCCATTAATTTATTACTTCTCTTTCTTCATCTTTAAATTTCATTTTTTTTTTCAAAAATTCCGACTTCCCGCTGCTGCAGTGATTTTCATCTTGTTGTTAATTTTCCCTGCTCCATATGGAGCTCCAGACATTTCACCTGGAGGCTGTACTAGATTTTGCTGTAGTGATCGTGCTTCCGGAGGCCAAACTGTCATTTAGGGTTCCTGGTGCATCTGTCTGCGCCAGGCTTTTCACTGGCATGGGAGAGTGTGAATAACAAATTGGATGCACCTGAGATTCAGATGATTAGTGTGTTTTGCGAATCTCCACGACTTGTAAGCAGATAGCTCTGGGGGGGGTTATGGGAGGGCTAAACAGCAACTGTGGGTGAATCTGTACTCACACCTTACATTTGGGGCTTTGCGAGGGAAGTGCAGACATCCTAGGCAGTCTGAGTGCGGGGAGAGTAACAAATATTTCATCCTGCCTTGTCATTGATTAGAAAAGAGCCTTTAATTTCATTTCACCCCATGTTGTGATTAATTTGCATTCTTTGTCAGAAGTTAATGGAGTTTTTTATGGTTCACTCTGAAATCCTTGAAGACATCAGACTTGATCTGATGTTTATACAACCGCCAGCGGAATTTTTTCATTTGATTGATGGCAAGCTTGATGTTATTCCAAACGGCTTTTTAAGCTGTTTTTAAGAATTATTTGAATAAAATGCAAGCAAGATATTGTTGTAAGATCAAGATTATCTGTTAAAAATCTGTTTCAAATAAAGAAGATAAGTAGTAAAAAGGATCAAAAACATAAGAGATGTAGTGAATAGTGATGCTATTTGTTAAAAATACATTAAGGATGGCATTCAGATAAATTGTTGCAATATGTACAGATCACTTTTATTGAAAAAATATGCCATCATCTGGGCAAATAGAATGATTAAGGC